ACAAGGTTGGTTTTTCAAACTCACCAGCTACTCTTTGCAAACCCTATACAGGGTCACTTATAAGTCAGACCCGACTTAACGGTCTTAACAACAACAAGAATTGATGAATTTGAGTTATGGTGTTGGAGAAGAAGATTGAAAGTGCCATGGGCTGTCAAAAAAACCAACAGATCTGTGTTGGAAGAAGTGCAGCCAGAGTGCTCCTTGGAGGCCAGGATGGCCAAACTTTATCTCTCATACTTCAGACATATTGTCAGGAGCCCTGTGGCTGGCAAAGGATATCATGTTTGGTAGGGTTCGGAGGGTCAGAGAAAAAGAGGAAGGCTGAGATGGATTGACCAAGTGGCAGTATCAATGGACTCAAGCATGGCAACAGTAGTGAGGTTGGCCCAGAATCGGGCAGTGTTTCGTCGGTACCAACTCGATGGCACCTAACAACAAATAGGGTTTCTTAGTGACAATTATTATAACTATACATTCTTGATAAGCACTGGACTGCTAGCCACAAATTCGGTGATTCAAACTTTCCAGCCACTCTTTGCAAACCCTACACAGGGTCACTATGGCACTTAACGACAAACAGGGTTTCCAAGTGACAATTATTATAGCTATACATTCTTGATAAACACTGGTCTGCTAACCACAAGGTCGGCGATTCAAACTCACCAGCCACTCTTTGCAAACCCTATACCGGGTCTCTATTAGTCAGACCCGGCTTAATGGCACTTAACAACAAATATGGTTTCCGAGTGACAATTATTATAGCTATACATTTTTTGATAAGCATTGGACTGCTAACCACAAAGTCAGCGGTTTAAACCAGGTACTCTTTGGAAACCTTTTACAGGGTCACTATGAGTGGGAACTGACTCAATAATAATACATCAATGCCTGAATGTATTACATGGCACTGGAAGACTTGGGATCTTAAAAGGGCAGACTCAGAATTTCACATTTGCACAATGAGGGCATCTCTAATTTCTTTATGGTTCTGTCAGTCTGGGTCTTAAGCATTCCCACTGCTCAAAGACAACTGAAGAAGTGCCTTTCTGATCTTGGGTCTGAGTAATCATAACATCATAAACCAGAACATATCTTTCTGTTTGTTGCTGTGTGTCTTGGATTTGATTTGGACTCACTGCGACCTTATAGGACACAGAACTGCTCCATAGACTTTTCAGGGCTGTGATCTTTGCTTGGAGTCCTGGTGTGGCGCTGTGGGCTAATGCGTCAGACTGCAAAGTCACTTGAACTGCAAGGTTGGTGGTTCAAGCTCACCAGTAGCTCCTTGCAAACCCTATATAAGGTCGCTATGGGTCCGAATCGACTAGACGGTATTTAACAACAACAATCTTTCCTGGGGAGTCCAGGTGTGGCGCTGTGGGTTACTGCGCTAGACTGTAGAAGAACCTCAAGGTCAGTGGTTCAAGCTCATCAGCCGTTCCTTGGAAACCCTATACAGGGTCGCTATGAGTCGCAACCGACTCGATGGCACTTAACATTAATAACCTTTCTTTCTGAAGCAGATTGCCAAGTCTTTTCTCTTGACAAGCAGCTGATGGGCTCAAACCACTACCCTTCAGTTACCAGTTCTGTACTTACCTTCAACGGATTTCTACTGCTTTTAAAATAGAAGCCAAACTCCTTTTCCTGATTCATATATCTTATAAGATTTAACTCTTGTCTGAATCTCTTGCCTCAAATCCCTCCATTCTCACCTTGCCCTTTTAATTCCATACAAAATGGCCTTTGTGCTTTCTTTAATCTTTCTAACTTGCTCCCACTACATGGCCTTTACACTTGCAGTTCCCTCTGCTTGGAATGCTTTTCTCCTGATCTTCACGTGGCTTACGTCTTCACTTCGCTCACTTCACTCTGTTTAATTTTCTCTAGAGCACTTGCTACCATCTTAGAAAATTATTTGTTGAGTTGTTAATGTTCTGTTGTGCCCCACATTGGAGAACACGGTCCTTGACTTGCTCGCTCAACTGTGTTTGTTCCCAACGCTCAGGGCGGTTGGTGCCTGGCTCAACAAAAGCTCGATCCAGCCCAGCCCTCCAAAAGAACGGCGGATGTCGGACAACGTAGCCGTCTCCACTTCCTATCCCACTCCAGACTTGCTCCCAGGCCTCAGTGCCCCCTTCTACCTTCGCGCTGTGCCGGGAGTCAGAAACCGTACTCACCAGACCCGCGCCGAGCTCCTTCCGGTGGGGGCGGATGCTCGATACGGAAGTGCTCCCGGGAAGGCGTGGTTGTCTCCGTGCTGACGGAGCTTTTCCGGGGCAGTTGGAGCGCAGCGGCGGTAGCAGCTTGCGGTGGTGAGGGGGGAGGCTAACAGGGTGTGGGGCTTCCTGGGAGGAGGGAGGAGGAGCGCGGGGGTCCCTGACCGGTTCAGTTCACCGAGGACTCCGGGAAGGGGTCAGAAGCGGCCTGGGAGTGAGGCCGCGGGCACCTGGTCTTGCTGCGGAGGCTCTGAAAGCGCTTTGGTGATTGCAGCGCTACGTTTGCGTGAGGAATTTTCGTAGTTGTCAGCGTCGAAGAACTTAGTTACTAGGGCATGCTTACATCTGGTCTGCTTTTTGAGGTTTATTGTAAGTGAGAAGAATCGGGAACACGTATTTGTCACGGTAGAGACACCAGACGATAGTCAGATAAAGATAGTGGAAACACCCACAGAGTTCTGTGCCAGTCATTGTTTTAGTACCTCGCGTATTCTGTCATGTAGGTGTTAATACCTGTTTTACGGAAGAGGAAACCGAGTGAACAAACGTCCTCACTATCACTGCAGTACAGGCTTGAAAGAAAACCAGTCTAACTTCAGTGCTACTTTTACCACGAAGTCATACCACCCTCCCTCCATATTGCTTACTGTGGCTGGAACTGTAGGCATTGTTGTATTTTAAATATGGACTTAGCCAGTTTGAGTTATCTGAGTCCTTTTCAGTCAATGAAAGTGTAACACTTACTCAACAAATCTAGAAAACCTACAGAAACATTAAATCGAAGCAGTTTCATGTTTTTCTTGGTTTTGCGCTTGTACCTATTAGATTATAAATCCCTTAAGGTCAGGAATGTTACAGTCACTCTACTAACAATGGTAGTGATAATCACCACAGAATTGTCTCAGCTTCCTTTCACAGAATCTGACATATCCTAGATGCTCCCTATTTTATAAAATTGTATGACTTATATATGTTGTAAGTGCCATGGAGTCGATTCTGATTTACAACGACCCTGTCGAGGGTTTCCAAGGCTATATACATCTTTGCAGGGGCAAAAAGCCTCATCTTTCTGCCAGAATTTTTAATAGTGGTAAATATATCTAAAGGAGCTCTGGTAGCATAGTGGTTGCAAATTGGGCTGCCAGTCTCACGGCAGTTCGAGACTACCAGCTGTTCCAGGGGATTAAGATGAGGCTTTCTACTCCAGTAAAGATTTACAGCCTCGGAAACCCTGTGCAGGGTCTCTATGAGTCGAAACTGACTCCAGGGCACATAACAACAACAACAACAAACAAAATATATATGTAACAAAAGATTTGACATTTCAGCAATGTACACGTGCACAATTCAGTGACATTAATTATTTATAACCTCCTTGTTTTTAAATATTCTTTGTCCATCTGTCAGCAAGCTTTTGTGTTCCCTTATAAAAACAATGTTTTAGGCTAAGCTGCAAGACACAAATTCACCACTCTCTTCACTTCTTCATCAGAGGTGAAACTTTGTCCTCCAAGGGCAGCTTTCAGGTGACCAAACAGGTGAAAGTCCGATGAAGCAAGATTAGGACTTATAAGGAGGATCCTTTAAAACCTCCAAACAAAGTTTTCGAAGTATGGGCAAAGGTGTGTGGACATGCATTGCCATGCAGATCACAAGCTCTTGGATAGTAGTCCTCTGCATTTCATCTGAAGTTTAGGCTTCTCTTCAGTGAGCATCTCATTGTTAATGAGCGAGTACTATTGATCGTTGAACATTTTTTCTGATAGGGTTTCAATACTGGCCCTTGAGAATCTCAGAAAACTGTAAGCATCAATTTTTCAGCTCATGGTTTACTTTTGAACTTTTTCCTGGTCAGCCATTGAGGATGTTTCCATTCTATACTCTGCCATTTACTCTCAAGCTCGTAATGATGAATCCATGTCTCATCACCAGTAACGATTTTGTAAAAGCCTTGGAAATTATATAGGGCAGTTCTACTTTGTTGTGTTTAGGGTCGCTATGAGTCAGAACTGATTCATATAGGGTTTTCACTGTACTTTGCCTATGAATTGTATTCCTTGATTCTAACTAGTGCAGTGGTTAAATGCTCAGCTGCTAAATAAAAGATTGGTTTGAACCCACCAGCCGCTCCATTACGTGTGCTTCTGTGAAGATTACAGCTTGGGCAACTATGGTTCTGCTCTGTCCTTTAAGGTTGCTAGGAATAGCATGAGACATCCTGTGATTGAACTGTTCTGTATCTTCTTTATGGTGATGGTCACAAAATCTATTGTTGTTGTTATGTGCCTTGGAGTCGGTTCTGACTCATAGTGATCCTGCATAGGGTTTCTGAGGCTGTAAATCTTTACAGGAGCAGAAAGCCTCATCTTTCTCCCGCAGAACAGCTGGTAGTTTCGAACTGCTGACCTTGCGGTTTGCAGCCCGATTCGTAACCACTACACTACCAGAGCTCTATGATAAGATTGTATGTAAGTAAATACACATACACGTGTACATATTACACACACAAATGAGTGTACGTAAAACTAATGAAATCTGAGTAAGAATGATGTATTTTATTATTGCCAATTTCCTAGTTGTAATGTGACAAGATAATTATGTAAATTGGGAAACTATTTGAAGGGTATATGGCATGTTTCTGTATTGTTTCTTATATCTGTATGTTAATATATGATAATCTCAAAATAAAAAAGTTTTAAAGAATCACTCATAACCAAAAAAGCATATAAACATAAATTTTTTTATTGGGCTTTTATTTTACCAGGTGATGTTCTAATCATGTCAGATCAAGATGGCATTGAGACTCCAGTAATAACTGAAGCAACCTCCATTCTTGAGGATGGGAACTATGATCCAGCAAAGAATTCTGAATCTGTTGATCAATGCACTAAGCCAGAGAGTAAATCAGAACCTGTAGCTTCTACTCGGAAAAGACCAGAGGCCAGATCTTCGAATGACCTTGAGACTTCAGCAGTTCTCCCTAGTCAAACTTCACAGGCTGTAGGAAAAGTAGAGTATCTGTTAAAATATTGGGGTTCAAAAAATGTTGGGGAGTTTGGAATCAATACCAATTCAATATTACACTTATTTCTTTCCTCTTATGATCATGTTCTATAAATGCCTTTATGAACTGTTGCCTTTGCTACATGCTTAAAATGTTGGTAACAGGCTGTATGTGTCAGTTAAGTAATACATTTCTTTAGCTGTATAATTTTGTTCACCCATACTTTTGACTATAAATTAGGTACCTTATTGATATACTCTTTGTTTTCCACTAATTAATCATTTTTCTCTTTTTCCTGTCTACTGCTAAAAATAGGATTCTGTTTCCAAAGAGGTAGCCCAGACTGGATGGGGCTACTGGGGGAGCTGGGGCAAGTCCTTACTTTCCTCAGCCTCAGCTACAGTAGCAACAGTAGGTAAGGTCGCCATTTTATTAACTTTCGTGTGTATTTTGCTACAGATTTTGTTTTAAAAAACAATCTTGTTAATCTTCTTCCTTGTATACGCAAAGGCTTTGTAGTTTGAAGATGAATTAGTAATGGTAAGCTGATATATACTGTCAGTAGAGTCTGTGGCATTTTCTTATTAGAAAGTTGAAGCCTAGGAATTGTTAAGGTAAAGCTACTCTTTGGTGATAGCATAAAACATGACTCAGTTTTATTTTTTTATAAGGAGATGGCTTGATAGCCTAAGGATTAGTTTATGTATTATTCAAAATAACGTGTCTTGTCATAGTGATTTAAAAAATTTGCTGGTTTGACTTTTCTCAGTGTTGACAACTAATGGCAAATAATATTCAAATTTAAAATGTTGCCATTTTTCTCATTAGGACAAGGTATTTCAAATGTCATTGAAAAAGCAGAGACTTCTCTTGGAATTCCAAGTCCCAGTGAAATTTCAACTCAAGGTCAATATGCATCAGGTCAGTATACGGAAGCATTAAAACCTAGACTTGTTATTAAAGTGGAATATCAGTTCATTTTAGATGTATATTTATCCACTGTCTCTGATACTCAGGGGATTAGGGTGATAAAGAAGATTTGGAATCCTCACTTCTATATTTCTTCACTTTATTTTCCTCATCTATGAAAGGAGATGATATTTTATATATGTTTTTAACTAGACCATAATAACTAAGACCATGCATGTAAAATGTAAAAAGACTTAGCATTGTGCCTGGCATAATTAACATCCTAGGAAGACTTAGTTGAGTTTGAAACTATTGTGACACAAGAAAATATTTCAATGTATTCATTTAGGGGGTATATTTGTGTGTGTGTGTGTGTTTGGATCTATCTGAAGGTGAAGTTCAGTTTTAGAAGTTGGTCTTGATCCTACAGGAATGTAGTCTAACTTAAACCATAAGGGACAGAATTAGAACCAAGGATCAAGATGGCCTGAGACCAGAAAAGGAAATGCTTCTCAGGACCTGGACTTACCTTTTTCATCTCTAGGTCCTTGTCTCCAACTTGCACTTTTCTCTGTTCATGTGCATTATTTCTGTCTGAGCAGACTGATTTTCTCTGCTTATCTTCCCCATCTCTAGCTTTATATTGCATCCTGGTATAAGTGCTTTTCAGAGATTAGCTGTTGTTGTTTCTGTTAAGTGCCATTGAGTTGGCTCTGATTCATAGCAACCTCGTATAGGCTTTCTGAGGCTTTAAATCTTTGCGGGATCAAAAAGCCTCATTTTTCTCCCAGGGAGTGGCTGGTAGTCTCAGACCACCTACATTGGCAATCCAGTGCTTATCCTACGGAGCTACCCTGTTCCCCAGAGACTAAAAAGCATCAATTATTCCCCCAATTTGCCTAAGGTGATCTAATTCCCTTCCCTGGGAGTTTAGCTACTTTCCGATGGGCATTTACACCTAAGCTTGGATTAGAGTCCCTGAGTGGAGCACACATTTAACATGTTCCACTGTTGACCAGAAGGCTGGTGATTTGAGAACACCTAGGAGAAAGTCCTGGTGAGCTACTTCTGAAAACTCATCCATTGAAAACCCAATGGAGTACATTTTCCTGACACACATGGGATTGCCATGATTAGGCAATGATTTAAGTTTACTTGTATTCACAGTCAACACCCATGGATGCAGCCAGTAATAAATCAAATGATGTATTACATAGGGAAAATCTGCTAAAGACCTCTTAAAATGTTTTAAAAAAAGCAAAGATGTCACCTTGAGAACTAAGGTGTACCTGAACCAAGTCATTGTACTTTCATTCAGTTCATATGCATGTAAAAATTGAACGATATATAAGGACAACTGATGAATTGACGCCTTTGAATTATAGTGTTGGCAGAGAATACTAAATGTACAGACTATGAATGTTAGGGGAACAAACAGATCTGTCATGGAAGAAGAACAGCCAGAATACTCCTTAGAAGAAAGGATGGTAAAACTTTGTCTCATGTACTTTGGACATGTTATTAGGAGAGATTAGTCTTTGGAGAGAGTCCTGGTGTGACACTGTAGGATAAGCACGGGACTACTAATGGCAAGATCTGAAGTTCAAACCCACCAACCGCGCCTCAGAAACCCTATATTCAAACTCACCAACCGCTCCTCAGAAACCCTATATTGGGTCCATTATTTCTGTATTAATTTTTCTTCATCTCACTATTTTTCTCTTGGTAGTCGCTTGCCTATATCTTAAACTACTTGGTATTATCCCACAGGCCTCTGAGGTATTGTTTATTTCTTTTGGGCCTTTATTGTCTTTGGTTTAGTTTGTATAGCTTTCACTGTTACTGATCCTATTCTGTGTCTAATACTGGTAAATTCACTCAAAAACTTTGTAAGCTTGGATTTTATATCCTTTCAACTCCAGATATTCCTTTTTCTTTTTTTATTCTAATGACTTGTATTTCTCACCTTCATGTCCTTGGAGAAGGACATCATACTTGGAAAAGTGGAAGGTCAACGAAAAAGAGTAAGTCCGCCCTCCCTCTCACTCCATTGTGAGGATGTCGCAGGACCAGGCAGTATTTTGTTGTGTAGGGTGGTTATGAGTTGGAAACTAACTCAATGGCACCAAATAACACCAACATTTCTCACTTCATATGTTTTTTTAAGTTTTACTGTGAATTGAATCAAGGTTTATAGATAAAACCATCAGTTTTATATTCAACAAATCATATAATCATTTCATCTCAATGATTGTGATCCCCTCCACATAACAATAGTTATCCCACTTCCTACCTGTGGTTCCTATTTATATGCTGCCCACCTTTCCATACCTTCTCAACTTTGTCCTTAAGTAAGTATTATCCTTTTGATTTTGAATGATTGACCATTACATGGTGAGCATACCTTAGTAATGTCATTATTCCAGCTATTTACATATCTATTGCTTGGCTGAAAATTGGATCATGAGGATGAGTTATTTTCCAGATCTGAAGGGTGTCAAGGGCCATAATCTTGGGTTCTTTCAATCTCTTTCTATCCAGTTTCTCCCAATATACCCAGGACCTTCTAATGTGATCCCGTTCAGAGCAGTTAGTAGTGGTAGCCAGGTACCACCTATTTCTTCTGGTCTCAGAGTCATGGAGACTGATGTTCACATGTTCTGTTAGCCTGTTGAACTAATTGATTTCATACACCTTCACTTCTCATCACTCTTCTGTCTTCCATGTATGGTTCTTGGTGTTGTTATGGGCGCATATGGAGAGACCAGTAATTGCACCTTACATGGCTACTCATGAGCTTTTAAAATCCCAGACACTACTCACCAAAGTAGGATGTAGAGCATTATCTTTATGGACTATGTTATATCAATTGACCATGGTGTCCCCTGAGACTATGGTTCTGCACCCCCAGGCCCAGTAACTCATTGCCTTAAGATGTTCGATAATATATCTAAGATGTTTTCATCATTTTACCTGCTGTATGCTCCACATAAAACCAAATGGCCACCACTCGTCTGTTTGTCGTGCTGTGGTGGCTTGAGTTGCTGTGATTCTGAGGGCTATGCCACCGGTATTTTAAATAACCAGCAGGGTCACCCATGGTGGACAGGTTTCAGATGAGCTTCCAGACAAAGACAGACTAGGAAGAAAGAGTGACGAACTACTTCTGAGTCGCTAGTCACTGAAAACCTTATGAATAGCAGAGAAACACTGTCTGATACAGGGCCAGAAAATGAGCCCCTCAGGTTGGAAGTCACTCAAAATATGACTGGGGGAGAGATGCCTCCTCAAAGTAGAGTTGACCATGATGACGTGAATAGAGTTAAGCTCGGGGGAGAAAAGCCCGCAGGACCTTCATTTGCTGATGGGGCACAGCTCAAAATGAAGAGAAACAGCTGTAAACATCCATTGAAAATCAGAACATGGAATGTACGAAGTATGAATCTAGGAAAATTGGAAGTTGTCAAAAAATGAAATGGAACGCATCAACATCGATATCTTAGGCATTA